ATTTCCTTATGCACTTAGTATTCTCCTGCCCACTTCCCTACTATCAAGATCCCAAAGTGCATGGTGCTAAATCGCTCCTTGTTCCCCAAGTTGCTGAGCAAAAGCTGAGTTTCAGTAAGTTCTCAGGGGAAAAAAGAAAAGAAAAAGCTTTCTAATAAAGGAAGTCATTTGTATTTGATTTTCTCAATTTTATTGATATTATGATATTCAAAGTGCAGAACATTTGAATTGGAAGTGACCTAGGATATATTGTAGTATACACTCATGCATTTTATTTTTTTTTAAAGAAGATGTTACTTATTTATTGAGAGAAAGAGAGAGAGAGAGAGAAAATGAGTGGGGGAGAGGCAGAGAAAGTGGGATAAGCAGACTCCTCACTGAGAATGGAGCCTGATGTGGGGCTCAATCCCAGGGCCCTGACATTCATGTGTTTTAAAGATGAAGAGCTCAAAGGACAATAACTTGCCTAGAACTAAGGAATAACCTTTTTTTTTTTTTTACTTTATTTATTTATTTGACAGACAGATCACAAGTAGGCAGAGAGGCAGGCAGAGAGAGAGAGGGGGAAGCAGGCTCTCCGCTGAGCAGAGAGCCGGATGTGGGGCTCCATTCCAGGACCCTGGGACCAAGACCCAAGCTGAAGGCAGATGCTTTAACCCACTGAGCCACCCAGGCACCCCAGGACTAACTTTGTAAACAGAATTCCTCAATGGAACTAAACCCACTTTACTCAGTTCTCTCTCTAGCCAAATTTTGTAATTTATGAGAAATTGCTTCCATTAACCTAGAAAGCATGGGCATTTTTGAGGTATTGTTGTAGATGTTTAATCCCTTGGTGAAATGAGATGATATTTAATCCACCTCATGAAACGACATGAACTAACTGTGAGGAAAGCCACGAATGTTAGTGGTTAAGGGAAAAGAGTTGCAGTCAGATCTGCTTTCTCATCTCATCCAGGTCACTTAGTAGCTCTTTTATTTTGAGAAAAGTAATTATCTTCTCTAAGGCTCAGTTCCTTCAGCTGTGAAATAGGTTTAATAATATTAACCTGATATTTTTAAATGAGTTTTTGAAAAAGTCTTACATGAACAAGGTTCAGTATGTCAAGTTTATTGAATTCAGTTACTTTATTAATCAAACATATGAAAAACACTTAAGCGCTAAGAAATTCAACAGCTATACAAAGTACATGGTGGCCTAGAAAAGTAAGGAATTGGAAGCACTATCCATCCTGTGAATTGGTGTCTCCAATTACTTTCATTTCCTCTCAGGCTTTTCTAAAGAACAAAAAACCAAAAACCAAAACAAAAACACAAAAAGCAATACAAAACAACCCAAAAAGGGGTCTAAAATACCCATTTTTATCAAAGGAGAGTATGGTTGCTGCAGTAATACCATACGGTAGAATGTGCCTGTGCCACATCGGTGGAAGGTGCAATTAATGAGTAACTAACTGGTTTTCTGTAGAGTGCAACTTGTTCTGCTGAGTCTTGGAGTCAGTGAGGGAGAAAGGACCAGGCAATGCATGGTAAGTAGTCAGTAAGGCCATTACTGAGAGAGACAAGGACACAGAAGGGAAGCGTACACCATTCCTGGCTCCCCTGTTGTTAATCCTTGAGTTGTCTTCGGGAAACTTTTAATTAGCAGAATTGATTGCTTCATCTTGATATTTTAAAAATACCATAAGGAAAAATAATCACCCTTATAAATACAGGAAACAATTCCCCTTACTTACTTTTTGAAGGTGTATTGGTTTTCCAACTTCTTTGTAGGTAGGGCTGTTTATTTTGTGTTTTACAAGTGAGCGAAGTGTTACTATTTATACTTGGAATGCACTTTCTTATTTAGTAGGGATAAGTGCCTGGTTAGAAATAGGTCAATGGCTACCTAGGCAAAAACTAGAGCTGGTCATATGAGAGATACCAATGAGCAAAATTGGGAAATTTTTTATTTTTCTCAATAATAAACAAAGGGGTGGCAGACACGAAAATTTTCTTGTGATAGACTTACATGCCTCCCACATGGCCAGATATTTACATACATTCTAAGTTTTAAAATCTTCAGAGAGCAATTGTGGAGCAATATTTTCCATGTGAGAAAACTCAGGCTCATAACGATTAAGATATGTGTCATCACAGAATTAATAGGCAGCACAGTTATATTTTTTCAAATTGAGTCTGCCCAGTTGCAAAACCTGCGAGATGAACACAGTATTAAGGATACTGGGAATATTTTAGCACAAAAATAATTTTCTAAAGTTTTGGAAAGCTCAAAGATACCTAGGTTATTTTTACAGAAGGCAGGAGGGAAGGAAAAGGCATGAATACACAGAAGGGGGCAACAGGATGTTTCACTGTTCTTCAGTAAAAGATGAGAAAAAGATAGTGAGCCACCCCATACCTATATACAACAAATAACCATTTTTCTTCTCTCTCTCTCTTCTTTCTTTTCTTAAGATTTATTTATTTATTTTAGAGAGAGAGAAAGGGCAGGGTAGAGAGGCAGAAGGAGACAGAAAAAGAATCTCAAGCAGACTCCATGCTGAGCACAGTGCCCAATGGGGAGCTTGATCTCACAACCCTGAGATTGCCACCGGAGCTGAAATCTAGAGTCCAACATGCAACCAACTGTGCCACACAGGTGCTCTCAAATAACCATCATTCTGTAGATGATGGTTCCTATTTTATGATAAGCCTTTTAGCTTTGCAAAACATCTTAATGTATTCACTAGGTAACCATCAGTTTAGAGCTGAGCTCAAGGATAGGAGCCAGCAAAAGGTGGACTGCTCAGGAAAAATGGAGTTCCTGAGGTCATTCCAGAGAGAAACAAGACATGTGTTGGAAAGGTGGGGATTAAGTGCTATACAATAGTTCTGGAAAAAATCCTCTGTGGTTAGGGTGCAGGAGGACAGCTTAAAGAATACATATGACTAATTTTATTGTTAAATTATTTTGTATTAAATAGCTTTCATCTGCTTTTGATAGAGTTGTGGTGTGTGTGTGTGTGTGTGTGTGTGTGAGAGAGAGAGAGAGAGAGAGAGATCACGGAATGGATGCGAAGGAGGTTTATGACAAATTTAAAAGGTCTCAAGAGGCTTGTGATTATTTAAACACTGTCATCACAGTTTTTAAGTCATAAAATTGCTTTGGGTATCACCTCTGAGGAATTAATTAAATTCTAACTAATAATTATCACCTGATATAGTTTTTTCTTGTATAGATAAAACTTTCTTTTTTCAAGAAGGATTTGTTGATTGAGCAGAAAATAAAACTTAAAATTACATGTAGATTTGCCTGGGGATTTACATTTCTCTTCTGGTTATAGTTTAATACTGATTTTTTTTTTTAACTGTGGAAGGGGAAGTTTTTTTAATGCATTTGGATTGGAATAATAATGACTGATGTTTCCAACTCTTAAGAGTTGTGTTTGTCACAGATTTTAAGTAAGTTTGGTCCAACAAGAGTATAGATTCTAGATTGCCTGTACCTTAAAAACCTACAAGAAAGAAGTAGTGATGTATCCAAGTCTGAAGACAAGATAAGCTCTACAGAGACTTATGGTAATCTTCAGCACTGATCCTAGAGGTCTCAATTAGTTGGATAATGATGTCAAGTCCTGCAACAGCAAAACAAATAATGAGTTAAGTTAGAAGTCCAACTCTCACTCCTATCAAATTCTGAGCTGGTATGTCAGTTGAGGTCTGCCACGATTTTAGTAGTCATGACTCACTCATTTTTCTGCCATCTCATCCGTGGGTTCTGGGGTAGTTCAGCACTACATCCATATGAACTGCCAGTAGGAAGGAGAAAGGAGGAAGGGAAGGGCAATCCTATGCCATAAAGGGATGGGTTAGAAATTGTACACTTCTCTTTCACCACATTCTCTTGCCTAGAACATACTCTTTGGTTGTAGAAAATCTAGCTTGAGAATAAACAAAGAGAGGGAAGCTTTGTGGTTGTGCTGTTTTGTTTACTTTGGTCTTGCTTTGTTTTTGTTTGTTTGTTTTAAGCGCTGTTTCATAAAGACCAACTCTGGCTCCAAAAGCACTAACGTGGATAGAGGGGAGGTACTGCTTCTGGCCCAGGCTCTGTCAAAGCCGTCTCTGCCTCGGGGCTGTCACTTTGCTCTTCCATCTGCTTTCTCAAATGTAGACAAACATACTGGACCAAGTCATTTCTATTGTCTGATTCAGGTCTGATAGACTGAAAAATCAGCTTCTCTAAATGTATTGAATTGACTAGAAAATGTTAGAAGACTTTCTGAAAGCTTTCCTGTGCATTATATCTGTGGCCATACATGGTAAAACATTTACAATCACTCAACTTCTCAAAGATTTCTTTCCTTTCATTTCCCCCTCAAATAACATTTAGTCTAAGGTAGGAAGTACTGATTTCTTTTATCTCACAAAGAATGAATTAAGATGCATCTTTTAAGGTATCACTTAGTTACCTTTTACAAAGAACCTAAGGAGTTAATGTGGCATCTTCTGGAAGAAATCACTGTTATCAGGAAAAGAACTTCTGATACAAGATTCTGAACTTCCAATTAAGTTATCGGGTAAATTCATTTTTCAGTGGTGGATTTCTGTTTGTTTATTGGTACTGATTGGCAAAATCTGGGGTGAAAAAAAGCAATGTGAGGTTAGGTAAAGTATTGGAAATAGACAAAGTAGAAGTGCAGGTGGGTACAAAATATCCTGACAGAATCCAAAAATGTAAGTAGACAAAGAGAAATAAGAGGATAATTAGCAAAGGAAAAGTCTTCAAGCCCACTAGTGACTGGAACCCAGAAGTTTGCACTCACTAATGTTTAATTGGATACTGTTTCAAGTGAAATACTATTTCTAGTGTCCCCAGGGACAAAGAGTCATAGAAAAGGAAAGAAAAAATGTAGAGGAAAAAGGTCCAAAATGATGTTCTAAGAAAATATGACTTTTTCTTTTGCCTTTAAAAAAATTTCCTTTCTGATCCAATGTTCTCATTTCCTATTGAGGAAACGATGAGGAGAAACTTCACCTCAGTGACTGAGTTCATTCTCCTTGGACTGACCAGTTGCCTGGAACTGCAGATTGTCCTCTTCCTGCTGTTTCTGGCCATTTACATGGTCATGGTCACAGGGAATGTTGGCATGATTGTCCTCATCCATGTCAATGCCCGGCTCCATAAACCCATGTACTTTTTCCTGAGCCACTTGTCCTTTGTGGATCTGTGCTTCTCTTCCAACGTGACTCCCAAGACGCTGGAGATCTTCTTGTCGGAGAAAGAAACCATTTCCTATCCTGCTTGTCTGGTGCAGTGTTATTTCTTTATTGCCTTGGTCCACATAGAGATGTACATCCTGGCTGCAATGGCTTTTGATCGGTACATGGCCATCTGCAACCCTCTGCTGTATGGCAGCAAGATGTCCAAGAGTGTGTGCACGACCCTCATCATGGAGCCTTACGTGTATGGGGCACTCACGGGCCTCATGGAGACCATGTGGACCTACAACCTCGCCTTCTGTGGCCCCAATGAAATTAACCACTTCTACTGCGCTGACCCACCACTAATTAAGCTGGCCTGTTCTGACACTTCCAACAAGGAGCTGTCAATGTTTGTTGTGGCTGGATATAACCTCTCCTTTTCTCTGCTCATCATCCTGATTTCCTATCTTTATATTTTTCCTACTATCCAGAGGATTCATTCCACAGAATGCAGGCACAAAGCTTTCTCTCCCTGTGGCTCCCATCTCACAGCTGTCACCATATTCTATGTGACCCTTTTCATCATGTATCTCTGATGTCCCTCAAAGGAATCTGTGGAACAAGGTAAAATGGTAGCTGTATTTTATACAACGGTCATCCCCATGTTGAACCCTATGATTTATAGCCTTAGGAATAAAGATATGAAAGAAGCATTGACCAAAGAGTTGTTAAGAAAACAAAGATTTTCTTAGAATCTATCACTATTCTTTTGGTTCCCAAACTTTTTCTAAAACTTTTTCCAAAGTTACAGGGTAGAATTGATAACAAAATGAGAAATATGGTATATCAAAAGGGGACCTTGTGTTTTTAAAACTTCTAATAATTTTTAGAGATTTAAACATGAGAAGTAAAATTTCATTACAAAAACTGGCATGTTTGTACTTATTCATTATACTCCCTGGTTATTGTAATTTCTTTGCCTTTTGTGCACATGATGGCATTTTATTTCTCCTGTTTTGGGTTTAGGTGGAAGTATTTCTAGATAATGACTTAGATAAGAATTCATACATATCACTTCCAACCTGAGCATTTAATTGTTCATGAGAAAACCCGTCAGTGGATTTTTTTTTCCCTTGTCCTGGTGACCAGCAATATTTAATATCTAAGATGTAAGGATGGGTTCTTGAGCGAGGACATGTGGAAATGCTCCCTCCACCAACTCACACTAGAAATGTGGAATGGATGAGAAGTGCCCTCTGTCTTACAAGCTATAAGCATATGTTCAGTTAATTATTTCCATGGCAGTGAGTACCCTCTTCTGACTGATACTACAGTAACTATACAAAACTCAAACACGTGAATGCATATAACAGAAATTAAGCACTACAACCCTCAAAATACCATATTTGAGATTTTGTGTTTTTTTTTTCTGTTTCTACAAATATGTGTGTTTGAGTTAAAATTTCTTATTGTAATTATTTAAAATTGTTAATATAAAGCATATATGTTGTTTAAAATATCAAATAGTACTATAGGCTTATACACACTCCTGTCTTCTCCATTCCCTAGCTCCCCATAGATAAACACCTTCTTCCTATCTTTGGGCATTAACTCATTTTAAATTATAGGTTTATATGTCTATGTATTGATTTTCAAACTCGTGCATGATTTATTGACAGCTTTTTACTAAAGTTAAAATATAAAACTTCTTCCACCAATCCCTGCATTCCTACCCAAGAACCACCACTTCTTTCTCCTCATCTTTCCAATATGGTCACATTTGAAGTTTTCCTTCAATTGATATATGTGGTTAAAATAACTCTCAATATATCACTGGTAGTACTGGAAGATAATAAGAGTAGCACTATGAACATTATAAAAACTGATTACCAACACTATGAGTAACATTATGAATGGCTCCCATAATTCAAATTTTGCACAATTGTTTGATTTTTAAAATTATTAGTTGTTTTTACTTTCTTTAAAAATTTGCTATTTCTATCCAAATTCACACTGAATTATAAAGCCCCTTTTACAGAGAAAAACCATAGGTGATCTATAATTTACTCATTTTCTCCCTAGGAACTTTCTCTCCTCATGTTGGATTCTGCAGTGGTTGCTCTCTAGGTTTGTTGCACAGCTGTTATCTGGAGATACTGATTGCTGGTCTTGGTTTAAAATGTCTCATTCATTCAAACTATGTTGATTACTGGTAGACTGCTACAGACTAGAGATTCAGGTATACACAAGGCAGAAACATCCTTCATTATGTTTTAGAGGTGGGGGTATTTCAAAAGCAAAGCATGCACACAGATAAAGTATTTCAGACACTGGTAAGCACAATGGAGAAAGTACAGCAAGACAATGTGCAAGACAGTGACTTGCCGCTTCAGAAGTGAGGGTTGTTGCCTGTGTGGCAATTTCAGGGGCTGGGAAAGGACCCTTGGAAAAGGTGACACTTTGAATCTCAGCCTCTTGGGTCAGAAGAAGACAAACCTACACAGATTGTTGGGAACTGTAACCTGGAGAATCACTAACAAGTACAAAGTTTCAGGATGAAGCCTGGCATGTTGAAGACACAGAAGGAAAGCCATGTGGCTGAAGCGTAATAAATGGGAGAAACGATGGGGAAAGCTGATGCCAAATAAGTGGTTCCCTTCTTTACTGGAAGGCACTGTGCATTGCCACAGTTGACAAGGCAAACAGACTGCACCAGTTTGTGTTCATGTCCACACTTCGGTTGCTGCCATATGTTAGGTGGTCCATGGCTCCTCAGGTAAGGCAGAATGGGAAGTAGTAGTTTGGTTCATTGAGTTTTTTCTTTTTTCTTTTTTTAAAATTGATATTGTGTTGAGTCAGCAAATATCAGTTTATGGAACACTTAATGGACTTTTCTGCTATCCAGCTCAATGTTTCCTGCACACATTTCTCTAACCTTATAACTTACAACTTAGGTGAAAACTTTTTTTTTTTTAAGATTTTATTTATTTATTTGGCAGACAGAGATCACAAGTAGGCAGAGAGGCAGGCAGAGAGAGAGGAGGAAGCAGGCTCCCCGCTGAGCAGAGAGCCCGATGCGGGGCTCCATCCCAGGACCCTGGGATCATGACCTGAGCCGAAGGCACAGGCTTTAACCCACTGAGCCACCCAGGCGCCCCTAGATGAAAACTTTTTGACTGACAAATGCACAACTTCTATTCCTAGACCAGGAAACTCTTGAACAAACTGGGTGACAGTTGATCCTGCTACATATAACCCGCACAGACTGAGTTGTTGGCAGACATAGATGAATGTCTTTAGTATTAACAATTTGAATCTCATTCTGTTCAAATTTGTCATTAAACAGCTACCAAAATCTGAGAACTTTTGGAGCTGGAGACTCAGCTCATATGGTATGGTTTACTCACTGATATGCTCCTCACTTCCTAAAACGATTTATCTTTTTCTTCTATGTCTTGATTACATTTGCCATAAGTGAAAAAGAAGCAATTAAAATGTTTTCATTATATATTAATCGTGTGGTTTATTTATCATTCAGTAAATCAATAACTTTGTGAAAAATGTTTCTTAAGAATGCTCGGGTAGTTAGGCTGAGAGCATACACAGCTTTCTTGTCTAATGTGTGGAAAATGACTAATTATTTGGAAGAAGGTGAGTGGATCATGTAAATCTCCCTGCAGAGCAAAGACAATTTCCTACAGAGTTGATAATGCCTTCTATTCCTCTTTTACAAATTTGTGGTTAGATGAAGTAACACCTCTTTGAAAATGCCATTTTGGCAGAGAGGACGTATCGTGCAACCCCTCTCCCTTTGCCTCAGTCTCTCCCAATAGTCTAGGAAGGACAAAACCCATCTCTTGTGTTGTCCATCTCCGTCTGATTTCTATCACATAAATTTCAACCAGGAGATGAGCAGAGTGGCAGGCACAGGTCTCATTAGGCTTGTATTCTTGTGGTGTGAGATATACATACACAATTATCACAATACACAAGTGAATCATATGTTAGTGACTGTATGGCAAAACCTGAAAAAAAAATACTGTAGGCTAAAGGAGCACAGGAGGGTCTCTGGCTCAGGCATAGAATGAGGGTAAATTTTATTGAGAAGGTGATAGTAAACAAAAACTTCATGGAGGTTGTCTAGATATTAGCCAAGCAGGTGGGTGTTGTGTGTATGGGGGGGGGGCGTGCTGTAGGCACAGAGAACAGCTGGTGAAAAGGGCTGTGTTTCAAGGACAGATTAGAAGCCACTGCTGCTGAAACCCAGGTCAATGAGATAATTAATGGAATATGAGATCAAAGGCGTAATAGGGTGGCACTGGCCAATTATTTAAGATGTGTGTGCCATTGGGAGGTTTTTTCCTTTGAGGAAAAATGAGAAGCTGTGGAAGGGCTCCATGTTCAGTAGCAATATAACGATTTTTTTGAATTTAGAATGGAGTGTAAAGGCACTTGGACAGGGGGAAGTTACATAATTCAGGCAAGAGAGATGGTTGCTAGGACCAGGGTAGAGCAGGAAAGGTGGGGAGAGGTCCTCAGATTTGGGGAATATGCTCAGTAGAGATCTCTGGGTCCTTAAGGTGGGGTTATTGCTTGGAAGTTAGAGCACTGCCAATTCTGGTTTAGGTGCTACAACATGAATAGTTCTCACCAATGGATTGGAAGTGTGCAAGCCAGAGACTGTTTTAAAAAGGTATGGATGGCTTCCCTATTATTTCTCCAACTTCTGACAGCTGCATCTAGATGCTTAAAGTGACTTTGTTGAGGGCAGAGGACCTGACAATTGGAAACCCTGCCTGACTGCATGAAAAGGAGCCTCCTGCCATGAATTGGAATACCTCTTGCAAATTTTATGAAAGAAGCAAAATTTCTAATATTATGTTTCATAATTCCACGTAATGTTGATAATCCTATCTGGTAATTTGTCCCTATGTGTAAATGTCCAAGCCCAGATTCTCAAGAACAAGATCTTTGATTTCAACAAATATCAATCCTACTCTTTCCTTTATCAATTTTTGCTTTTATATTTGTGAATCTCATTTTATTTGTTTTATATAAAACAAATATATAAAACAAAATTGCTTTATATAAAAATATGTTTTATATTTACTTTTTCATCTTTCTAACACTTGGAACTGTTTGCTTAATTGATCAACTTATATTTTTTTCCTATTTAGTAATGATAACTATTTGAAATTATAGTTCAGATTTGGATCCTATCTTATATCTTGAAATGCATCATTCCTTTTATATTATGTTTTAAATTTAATTCTAGCTTTTACTTCACCTTAGATCTAAGAATTATATATGTAAATATTTTCATTTATAAATTCCTTTTATAATTTAATGCTAATTTAAAGATGTATTCCTTGCTATTTTCAAAAACCTTGTACTCCTTTATATCTCCTAGATG